CCCACATAATTACCCCCAACCCGCCCCGGTACGGCTCAAGCTGCGGGCGAGGACGGAAGCGTCTGGGAAGTCTGCCGTGATCCACGCATGCGTGCACCTCACTTCTCATCATGTACGCCCGCACAAAAGAGTTTAAAAAACCACACACACACACACACACAAACACGCACGTGTGTGGTTTTCATGCGAGCACTTGCGGTCAAAGAGTAAGTGTTTGGGGAAATCAGTTTTATTATTTCCAGATTAATAAGAAATATAAAATAAAATTGAGAGATTCGTGACTGTCGTGCTAAGCACAAGGGTATGGGCCACTGGGACTCTTCACCGAATCTCCGTACACGCAGAGGCGTCAGGAGAAAATAGAGAGGGGCAGAGAGCGTGCGCGTCCCAGAGCAAACGGGGGGGGAAGGGGTAGGACCCTGCGGCTATCCTGTATCGTCCAGGCGCTCAGCCAAGAAGCCATCCCGCGTCGAGCAGCAGGTGATTGTCCGAGGATCAATATGGAGCATCAAATTCGTCATTATTATCCCCTCGATAATTGGCGTCATTAAGGCATCGGGCCGGGGCGTCGCTCCAAACCGGGCAGACGCAGGAGGTTCGACTCCCGCTCACCGCAAGTGGCGTCGAATTTTATACTAATATTTTCTTTGCTGATTATCTCAACTCGAACAGCGCAAAGTTTGCAATGGCAGTTTACGTTTTATCAAAAACACTGAGCAAATTTTGTAAAGTTTTCTGGCATGTGACCAACTGATTGTAAGACCACGCAGCTACGGCATATTGTGATATGATGATTTAACGATCAAAGTACAAACAGGTCGAAAAGGGAAGCAGCCGTTATATTTTACGAAGAGACTCCCATCACCCAGGGTGATTGTTTGCAGCAGGCAACTCCATTACTTTCAAGTCGACCTGCCCGCGGTCACCACTCTGCCCTGCCCCGCTACGCGCGGGCTCACCCGGGCTATAGTGGTTTTGATGATTGAACGGTGGCAGGTTGACCAGACGCCCCCCCCCCCCTGCCTTCCTCTAATCTCTCCTGCAGCTTCACTTGGAGGACCGGCAGCAGCAGCAGCAACCAGCACCATACTACACGAAGACGACGATGGAGACGACGTCGGCGACGATCGAAGCAGCTCCGATATCGCCTCGGGGGCCGTTCAGAGAGGCTTGCCCCTGTAATCGGCGCTGGAAGAGGGGGGGGGGGGGGGCAAGCTAGTGGGGAGTCCTGCACACCGCGACCTCCGCGAGGGGGTCGGTGACACGTCATCAGCTCAATCACCATAACTCTGCAGTCTATCGGCCCGGTGTTTATGCCTTCATATCTTTATGCCGACCGCGGACCAGGGGCGGCGACACAAAGTAGTGGCGGCCAGGGGACGTTTGGGGCGAAGTGGGCGCTGCAGCGATTGTAACGTGCACCATGGAAATCGCAAATTTTTTGAACTTAAATTTGGCATACAAGAAACGTGGCAAACGTTAACATTCATCATTCATTCATTCATTCATTCATTCATTCATTCATTCATTCATTCATTCATTCATTCATTCATTCGTCCGTCCGTCCATTCATTCGTTTGTTCGTTCGTGTGTCAATCCCTTCGTATATCCGTTGGTATTTTTATTCATTCCACCATCGATTAATTCACTGATCCATTCATTCGTACATCTATCCAGCTATCTAATCATTCATTTATTTATTTTTGAACATACAAATTAAACAGCAAGAGCATTCTTTTTATAAATTGAAGCCGACACGTCGCTATGACAAGGCGCAAGTTAAAACAAGGAGGCCGCGGTGGGCGCGCAAAGCAGCAAAGACCCTCCTGAGTAGCGCCCATGGTAGCGCCTGCTCCGCCCGCTCTGCCGCGGCGCGCCAGCCAGTGCCCCTCCGCGCCCCGCCACGCCCACACCCCCCGCCGCCACACACCAGACTCGCCGTCCCTCGTCCTCCCGCCACTACCGCCCGCCGCAGGCGCCGGCCGCCAGGTCGCGCCACCGCCCGGCCGCGGCCCCGGGCCCGCGCGCGCGCTGGCGGGAGGGGAGTCCGCCGAGTCCGTCGTCGTGGAGTCCGCGGGCCGCCGCCGCGCACCCCCGCGCCCTCTGCAGGCAGGGGGATGCCGCCCTAGCGGCGCGCGGGCGCGGGGTATCTCCGGGGCTGCGCATGCGCGGGGGAGGCCAACCCCCAACCCGACGGGCGGCGCGTGCGCGTGCCGAGTTTGAACCACCGCGCGGATTCGGCACAGCAGCCACGACAACCATTCGAGGTGATCGATGCGCGTGTCGCTGTTGTCCACATCCGATATCTCGAAAGGAGATTGAGATCGACCAGACAAATGCCTCGGCCAGCGGCGCGGGCGCGGGGCGTCCTGTGCCGATGCGATACAAACGCGTCTGCTTGTCATTCATCGCCTCATTATCAGCCACACATCAGAGTATCGTCTGCTACCCAGCGGACACGCAGGGGTCATTCCACGAGCCATCGAAAAAGAATAGCAAGTCAAATACAGTTAGACACTTTGTTGGTCCACCCAAGATGGTAAATCCTATCTTCTAATCGTGAGTAGTAAGTACACGTTATATACGGTGTATACGCTTATTGTAACGAAAAAGAGAATGGGTGCCAAAGAGGAGGTCCTCACTCGCCGATAGAAACAATGTACAGGATATTTTTCGGAGTTTGTGTCCCCCGCAGCCGAGCTACTCAGCCGGGTGGTCTCGTATGCATTCATTCAGTAGAGCTGCGCGTTTGAATAGGGGATCGACGGGCGACAACCGAGGGATGACACCCATCGGCCGTTTTAAATTTTATCTCGATCTGTTGCGACCGTCACCATAAGAGCGCGCCATCGTTCCAGCAAGAAATGCTAGAGGGCACGTAGTTGAACACAAGTCGCGTCGCAACGCTTATTCGTTACTCAAGCACAGAAGAATAGCGCGCCAAATTCAAATCGATGAAAAATAAGGCAAGAGACTATTGTTGTTAAGAAAAAAAATAAAATTGGTTTAAACCAATCAGACCAAATTAATTACAATTACAATCATTAAGAGAGGTTTAATTTTACGCCTAGAATATAAACCTCAAAGAGTGTTTGTCCTGGAAGTCAGTCAGAAAATAATAAATCACCGTACCAAACACTCCTGTTTACAAGGCAGGCACGATCGCGTGCCCGACGCACCGCACACCATCGACCGCAGGCCGGCGAGAGGAGGCGGGGTGGGGGCAGTACAGCGAGGCTTGCGGGGGAGGAGGGGCAGAGGGAGGAGGAGGAGATGGCGATGCAGAGCGCCGCGGCGGGGCTCCTGCCTGTGCTCTGAGCCTTGATCAGCTGACTCCTCTCCATCAGAGCCGAGGGCGTGGCGGCGAGGGGCGCGCAGCTACTACACTGCTCACCGAGCACCTCACCGCACAGCCCACCGCGCAGCTCACACAGCAGCTCACAGAGCAACTCACAGAGCAACTCACAGAGCAACCCACAGAGCAACCCACAGAGCAACCCACAGGGAAACTCACCGCCCTGCTCAAAACCGCTAAAAGGTATAAGGGTACTATTCTTTCTCTTCTTTTCCGTTCCATAAAATTTTACAAAAGCTAAACTTTACTATTTGAACGAAAACAGTTGTGCAAAAATCCTCGGCAACTTTTGAAGAACGTTTTACTTTTAACGAAAACTTCACATATTTATGAAAAAATACTATTAAACTTGAACAGCTTCAGTATTGTCTTTTGTTCGGCTATGCTTGGATGCATGTTACACACGCTCAGAAGTTTCTTTTTTCTTAAAAGAAACAAAAAGAATCGCAATAATTACGCAACCAGAGAGTCGTATCCAGCACACGTGCGAAGGATGAGCTTTGACGTGCTCCCGATACACACGTCAGTAGCATTAATCCGCGGAAAGTCACCTTTTCCGCCGACGTAAAAAAAACACACACATCCGAGAGCAAATTAATCATCACATCAACACCAGAGAGAGAATAACCGTGGCTGTTTACTTCCTCGCGAGGAGTACGGTAGTGGGGGTGCTGTGGCTGAGATGCACTACATAATGCGCCATTTCACACTTCTAGAAGAAAACTGGACAGTGAAGCACGCCATAAAGGCCCTTCCAAAATGTCAGCGTACGGCTTCGCGTCTCTCGCACCCCCGCGGCCGCTCCCGAGCGCTCTGAAAATCTGTGCAACGCTACGCTACGCCACGCAACGTGCCACCCTCTTGCGAAAGAAGCCCCATTGAGTGAAGGCTTCTGCTGTGGCGGCGCCATGATTCGGACAGGCAGACGGGCCGCGCAGGCCTCCCGCTTCATGACCAGAGAGAAAAGGAGAGAAAATGGGGTGGCGCCGAGCTGATATTCGCGCGCAACTTTGTTGCGGTGACAAAAACATTTTCTCCTCGCAAAAGAGGCCAGGAAGAGTACGGGATACAGTAGAGAGATATGGTACGGCGTCTCTCATGTGTGTTGAGGGAGGGGAGAGGCGGGGGCGCATGGCTCCCCCAGCGCCCATCGGCATCCCGGGGCCGTGTGCCAAAATCTTCCCCAGTCCGACCCAGCGAGGCCGGCCAGCTCAAAAATCTCGCGAAAATTTGCATGTGTGAGAATAAGGGAAAGAGAGGAGAGTGTTAAGGGAGGGGGGGGGGCGTCACGGAGTGAAGGGGGAAAGACAGAGAGCTGGCGCGAGCGAGCGAGCGACGCGGCCCGGAGGAGGTGGAAAAGGGATTTGTGATGAGAGGGAAACCCTCCGCGCAGAGAGAGAGAGAGAGAGAGAGAGAGAGAGAGAGAGAGAGAGAGAGAGAGAGCCGGGCGAAGTGAAGGAGTGAGAGAGACAGAATCCTTTGAATATCACCCACCCCGCCCGTAGTACGCATGCCTCCACTGCCCCACCCCCGCGCGGCTCCAACC